TCACTTGAGAACTATATTAGAATTCTAGGCCTTCTCCCTGGAAAATACAAGAGACTAGCAGAAAGGGAAGGGAAGCAGGTAGGAATGATAATGTGAATAGCGGCAAACATTTTTCACATATATAACCATGTATTACGTACATTACACATACTATCTAATTTCAATTATTTCTCACAGCAACTTTAGGAAATAGTAGTGTATTATCCCATTACTCAGATGTGGATACTGAGGGAGAGGTAAAATACTCAGGAAGTGGAGAAGCCATGATTCAAATCTGTTGACTCCATAGCCCACACACTGACTGAATCTGTATCCCAGACACTTCATACATTTTTTTGTTTATAACACAGTGTATATTATCCCCATTTTAAAGATTAATAAGCTAAGATTCAACAAAGATAAATGGTTTACCTAAGGTTACAACTAGAAAGAATTGGAACCCAGATTCAGGCCAAGAACTGAACAGCTCTAAAGCCACAGAGGAATGAGTCCTTCATTCTCTTTCTCTTACACTATGGAGGTTAGAACATAGATGGGGGGAGAGGCCATGCAGAATGAGTTTCACCCCACTTCTGAGCTCCAGATGTCTCAGAGGTTATCTGTTAGGTCTGTGACTGTTTGAACACTGCAATCACTATTTGTCAGCTTTGGGGATGCCAGGGTTTCTGTTGGGTAGAAGTTCACCAAATTCCCCAGCATGTCATTGAGGCTATTTTTTAGAACTGATGACAAACTTGTTAGGCTTGAAATAGCCCCTCCTCTGCCATAGCCCAATAGGAGGTAACCTTAGCTGGGAGTGGATCAGTCATGTTCAAACCTATAAGAAGGACAAAAGCCAGTGGTATGGAAGCTAATTCTCTCAATGAATAAAGCATTTATGCAGAGCAAGAATTATAGTAGAGCCAGTCTACAAATCTACCTCAAAAAGTCTTTAAAGTCAAGGAGGGCTACCAAGAATTGTGTTTATATAAGGACTTCTGGGTCCTCTGAGAATAAGTACTAAGGGAATGTCAGGGCTGATCAGGACACTGGAACTGACTTAAACAAGGATGGAGAGAGGGAAACTGGCATAACTCCCAAGTAGAAATAAGAATAGGGGAGAAACCATTCATGTCTGTCCCTGTGCTTTTTTAACCTGGGCAATCCACCCTCTGATCACAACCCTCCTGGCCTCTATATAAGCTAGCCTCACAAGGGCTGCTTGGCATATAAAGGAATCCCTCCAGACCCAGCTCCATTCCTTCTCCCTCCTGACTTAATCTGTGGGACTTCTGACATACCTAGAATCTATATCTGGGTTAGTGCTGGAGGCTTACAGTGGGACAAGATGGTGGTACATATAATTTCCTGGCTTGTGATGTGAACCTGAAAGACCAAGGCCATTCTAGGATCAAAGAGCCACAGTCCCATATTCATCCATCTAAACAACAGATATTTGTAGTTAGGAAAAAGCACTGAGGCCCTGGAGGAGCTGGAGCTCCTCTGCAGTGAAGAGCCAGCTGGGCCACAGCAGGGCTGCCGAGGAAGGGCAGGGGGCTGCCGTGGAATTAAGTAAAGAGGGGTGAGCCCATCATGCTCACAAGGTTTCCCAGGATGAGAGCTGCCTCAGCAGCAGCTGTGGGTGGTCCTAGAGTCCCAGGAAAGGCAGGGAAAAGAAGTTCCCAGAAGATCATATTCTTCCACATGAAGAATCAAGAGAACAGGAAGAGGGCACGGAAAGGGAAGCCCTTCTACTCCCTCATTCCTTCTAGTCATGTCCATTCATTCTACAGATGGTAGCCAGAGTGAGTCTCTTCCAAACTTCCAAAGTTAGGTCATTCTTCTCTGACTTCCAGTTGCTCCTAGGATTAAGGCCAAACTCACTACTTGGTCTATAGGACCTGGCAAGGGCCCTGCCTGCTGCTGTAGTCTCAATTCACTCCATTGTGCCATCCCTCCATACTCTCCAGAACTCAAAGTCTAATTATTTTATAGCCTGTAAATTCCATGAGGACTAAGTTTATGTATTTTCACTTATGCTTTATATACTAGCACTTGGCTTATTTACCTAACATAGGTGGTGCTCAGTCAGTATTGTTTGGTTGGTTGGTTGGTTGGTTGGTTGAATGAATGAATGACTAGCTGGTTAGGTGAATGCTGAAGCAAGTCACTTGTGATTGCAGCTACAGCCCTTATTTCAGCCATGAACAGAATGGGATAGAGAGACAGAACACAATTGAGGCTTCTGTGGTAAAGGTTAACAGCAACAAAGGTTTCCATCAAAGCCTACTAAGCAGACACACTAAGATTTCACTGATTCAAATGCTCTTTGGAAAGAGATAGGAAATAAGTTAATAAAGGAACGTAAGATATGAAATTTTACCTTTCCTATAGCCTTGAAAGGATTCAGAGGAATGCCACCAATTTTGTTTTTCAGTTCCTTCCTTTTAACATGAGGGTATTAGGTTGGTGCAAAAGTAATGGCAAAAACTGAATTACTTTTGCACCAACCTAATACAACCCAGGGTCAGGAAAATGAGTTGAAAGTCCTGAGGAAGTATCTCTGCCCTGCTGCCAGCTGAACGCCAGGCAGTCCAATATGTCTAGAGAGGTTTTTTTCTTTTCTTTTCTTTTTTTTTTTGAGACAGAGTCTTGCTTTGTTCCCCAGGCTGGAGTACAGTGACGCAATCTCAACTCCTTGCAACCTCCACCTCTGGGGTTCAAGAGATTCTCCTGTCTCAGCCTCCTAATTGGAATTACAGGCACATGCCACCACATCTGGCTAATTTTTGCATTTTTAGTTGAGATGAGGTTTCACCATGTTGGTCAAGCTGGTCTTGAACTCCTGACCTTGTGATCCATTCTCCTCAGCCTCCCAAAGTGCTGAGTGGCTTTTTTTGAGACAGAGTCTCACTCTTGCCACCCACGTTGAAGTGCAAGGGCGCAATCTCGGCTCACTGCAACCTCTGCCTCCCAGGTTCAAGTGATTCTTCTGCCTGAGTAGCTGGGATTACAGGCACCAGCCACCATGCACAGCTAATTTTTTTAAGACAGGATCTCTAGCTGTCATTCAGGCTGAAGTGCAGTGGCACTATCTTGGCTCACAGCAGCCTCTCCCTCCTGAGTTCAAGCAATTCTCGTGCCTCAGCCTCCTGAGTAGCTCGGACTAGACAGGCACCACCACACCAGGCTAAGTTTTGTAGTTTTAGTAGAGATGGGGTTTCACCATGTTGCCCAGGCTGATCTCAAACTCCTGAACTTAAGTGATTCACCTGCCTTGGCCTCCCAAAGTGCTGACATTACAGGCGTAAGCCACCGTGCCTGGCCTAGAAACCAGGTTTCATGAGTGAGCCTTAGTCAGAGCTCACTGCTAAGCAGCATCAGGCTACAGTCCTAAGTGAAGGAGAAGCTTATCTCGTTTCTGATAAGAGAGGATACACGGCAGTTTTGATTTTGGTTCTTTCCTATGATGGGAGACTTTAGGATCTGGTTTCATGCAGGATGGAGTTTGGACACAGCATAACCCTGAGAGCATAAGGATGAGCAGTAAACTAGATAAATTACAGTTGGTGAGGATTAATTAACCACCACCCAGATGAGATTAAGAAAGTATTTCACAGATAAGAGAGGAGAGAAAACTGGCCCCAGGTGTAAAGTGGTGGTAATAATGCACTAATAGCCTGTGTGAATTGAGCTTATGTTAGCGACAAGACCTGTGGTTTGACATAGGTTTATTCCCTAAACAAACTCATGCAAAACTCTGTGTACAGCACTACCACCTTTTATCCATAGAATTTAAAGATTAAGTCTGAGATTGGTATTGTTTATGATAAAGCAGAGTTTTGCTATATTTTCTTTCCAGGGCTTGTACAATATAAGCAACATGCCTATATGGCCTTTGCTTGGATACTCAGCCTGAGAGATGAACAATTGTTATTTAAAAGACCTGCTGTAGAAGCTATAGACATTGTGTGATAAAACTGGAGATTTAACATACATTCTATGAGTTCTGCTCTTGACTAAGCTTACTCTCTCTACACAGAAGGTGGTTTAATTTCAACATGGGATTTTTACATGTATTATCTTAAGCTCCTACTGTCTCCTATTAAGAAGTTCTGCTATTTGAAAAAGAGTTTATTTTGAATGTTTCCACATTTTTAGAATCAATCTCAATCATCCAGAGGTGAATAACTCAGTTTCAAAGCTTAAGTATGGTAAATAAATATATATATTACATATATAATAAAATGAAAAACCAGTTTATAAGAGGGGCAGCAGTGGAATAGGAAAAAAAGAAAGTGAACCGATAAGAAAAACAACATCCACATATTAGAAGAGGGAATTTTTTAGAGCTACATAGTCACCTTTAGATGTCAAATTTGTCTGCTGAGACATGAGAGACCCTGAGAGTCCCACCATGCTGGATAAGCTTGTTGCTGCTGACACAGAAACAAAGTGACATGCAGATGGTTATGAATTCCAGTAACACAGACTCAGGGCCTCAGAGGTTCTCACCCTGGCTGCTCAGAAGAATCCCTTGGAGAGCTTTGAAAAACACAGCACTCAAGCTCTGCTCCCAGAGACTCAGATTTTGTTTCTCTGGAAAAAAGGTATCAGTACTGTTCAAAAGCTCCCTAGGTGATTCCACTGTGAGCTAAGATTGGGAAGCCCTGGGCTACCACGGAGGATACAGGGGAGGCCGGGGTAAGGGGACAGCGGGGGAGAGAGAGAGAGAGAAGCTGAGTATAAATTCTCCATTCAATTCAGAAAGAGGGGAGAGCAACAAACCATAGAACAGTTCAGTTTTGTGGCAAGCAATTTATATAATGTTTAGCATTTGTTAAAGTATTGTACTCATATCATTTTTACACTTCCAGATGATGTCTCTAAATACTGGATGCCATTTAACTGCTAGGTTCACAATAAATCTATTTTATATTAGCCATTTTTGTGTTAAAACCTCTTCTCCCCATCGCTCTGGTGAAACAAGAGGTGACTCTAGCACAACCCCATTCACTTACTTTAATTCCTTGTGATCCATAGCCACGGGGGCCAGGCGGGCCAGGCAAGCCTTTCTGCCCAGTATCACCCTGTTAGAAGATAGGGAGAATTTGAAGACAAAATATAAGAAGACTGAAGAAGAAACAATGTAAGTATTACTACTCTCAGCTTCATTCTTTCTTCAATCTGACCAGGACCTTCATGCTGCCTGTAAGGTACTTCCTATTTTACTTAAAATGCTTCCCCAATATTTTTAAGCCACAGAATTCTTTGCAAACAATACCTTAGATATAATCCAAATAAAAATTTAATAGTAGGCAAAGCTGCTTGGCCTAAGCAAAAATGAAGACCCAGGGCCTCATCTGCCTGGGCCCCTCTTGCTGCTCTACCACCAAGCCCAAGAACACCAGAGCTGCCCTGCACCATATATGAAAACCACTGACATGTGGATCCACATAGCCTTAACATGTTGTGCTCTTTCAACATGGAGTGCAACTTCACTGGGATTGCAGTTAAAGATTCAGTGGATATTAATGTGGATTAGTATCCAAATTTTTAGGAAAATATGTAGATGAAACAATAAGTAAGGATAGCATTTCCCAGTATGTGTTCATAAACTGATCCCATGTTTCTTTGGAAAGACTTTGTGGTGGAATAAGACTGGAAAATAGCACACTAATATAGTAGACACTAATATAGTAGATTAGTGGCTCTAACAGGTCCCACATTAAAGAAATTAGTGTAATGTTGCTTATCCCAGAAGTTCCTAAATTAACATTGGATGGAAGAAGCATTGAGAAATGCTAGGTTAATATAAGTTATTGTGTAAGTCAGTCTTTTTATTTCCAGTATAAAAAAAAGCTTGATTTTTTTTCTGTACATACATTTCAATTATCTGTTATGTAAACCCTCTAGTACATCTACTATTGTAACTGTTTTCTTGAGTACCTCTGAAGTACCTTCAAAGGGAGTGTAAGGTCACTGCCTGAAGTTCTCCAACTACACCTGACTGATTCATACAGTTTTCTACATCTTAAAAGGGAGATGTCTTATCTCTTCCAAACATTTTGACACCCTCCAACAAAACAAGTAAGCATAGTAATAGGAATACCTGCCCATTGAAAAAAAAAAACTTTTAACAGAAAAAAAATGACAATGAAAAAGAAAAATAGACCCATCTTCCATCACACAGTGAAATGACTACTAATATCTTGGGGGGCTCTTCCTCCATTTAAAGTGATCTAGAAGGTTCAAAACTAGCACACTGCCAAAAGGGGGTTGATGGGCAAAACAAAGACAAACTGAGAATCTTGGTAACTCTGGGATGCCAGTAAAATCTCTGACTCATAAAGCCTTTTCCCTTTTCTCTCTATGCATTTTTGGCATGAATATACCAATTCGAAATTTGAATTTGTGGTGGGTGATTCATCGACACTACTTTCCCTATTGAACATGCTTATTACTTCTTTAACCTACTTTTGAACAAATCAAAGAAATTTGTTGAGCAAGTGAATGAAAATTAAAACCATGTTTCTCAAACTCAGCACCTTTGACATTTCAAGCTGGGTCACTCTTTCTGAGAGGAGGCTGTTCTGGGCATTGTAGAATGGTTGGCAGCATCTCTGGACTTGACCTACACAACCAAAAATGCCCCTAGACATTGACACATGTCCTCTGAGGCAGGGAAGAAAAACAAAGTCTCCCTCTTTGAGAAACACTGGATTAAAAGAATAAAAAGATGAATAACCACCAAGCTGAAGGAGACACAGAAAGGAGGGAAACTGGGCCAAAAAAAGTTGCTCTTGTGTTCTCTGGGGACAATCAGTCTAGACCCGTGCACTGAGGCCCTGTCAGAGTAGCTGTGGCCACACAGGGCACAACAGATGCATTAGCAGGTGACCTGTTAATGCATCCTGAGGCACCTCTGCCAAAGTAAAGATGTGCTTCTTGGCAATGGCACAGCCTCTAAGAAACCTAGAAATGTTCTGAGCACTTTGCAACTAAAAAGAGGCTGACTTGTTCATTTCTTTTGGGGAAGTGAATGGCTTTATAAACTCAAATGTTCTATTTTACTGAACGTTTACCTGATATGAAAAATAAGACTTTTCATCAGTCATCAAGAAAAAAATAAGTCAACACCAGTATGAACACTTACTATGCAGTTACTGTTGACTTGTTTGTCACTGATGGTATCTGACCCTCACACAGAGCACTGAGCTGAGGACTCACCTTTGGCCCTTGGGTTCCTATGCCACGAGGTCCAGAAGGACCTGGAGGGCCTCTGACCCCAGGCTCCCCCTGAAAAGATACAACAAATAACAAGTTACTAACTTTGTAAAGACTTTATATTTTTTCAATGTATATATATTTTAATACCAAAAACTTCTTGAATGTGACTAAGGTTCTAATTGAACCCTCTTTTCCTATATCTCTTTTCTTTTTCCACTTAGGCAATCTTCAAACATTGGATCCAGGTCCATTTCAAATTAATCAAGTCAATTAACTTCTTGGCAACATTAACTTTTCTCATTACTTTCTTCTCTGGAATTTGGAAAAGTAATTACTAGTATTGTGAATAGAGGATGGAAGAAGGGACAAGAATAAAAATAACCAATAAGAAATATAATCATATCCTGAGCTAGTTGCTTTTATCATTGTATGCAACAAAGCTTATGCTATTTGAATTAGGGATTGACTCTATAATATATCTGCCACCTCATTAATTGGAACTGCAGGGTAAACTCTACAAACGATTTTCAGTTTCACTAAGGCATGACAGCTTCATAGCCTGCAACTATTACCAGAAAATTGGTGGGACCTTATGAAGGTAGGTAAAGCCCTGTGGCTAGACCTACTAGAGATGCTAATGATGGCAAGGAGAGAAATAAAAATTGCTTGATTAGCCACCTTCTGTATGCCCAAGACTACGCCACCCAAATTCATAAGTTATTTGATGTAATTTAGTCCTTATAATAATCCTGCATTATAATGTTGACCAGTTTATGTAACATCTCTGAACCTCAGTTCAGAGACATATGTAGACATTAATTTATCACATATGTAGAAAATAATATCTACATTTCATAGGGCTCAGAATTAAGTGAGACAAAGCTTGTAGGTGCTTCTATCACGATTGTTACCACAGAATAGGTATTTGGTAAATGTCAGCTCCACCCACCTATTTTATTAAAGTGGAAACTAGGGTTTACCCAAGTCTCCACAGCTATTAAGATGCAGGGCTAGAGGAATAGAAAAACAGGAACCCCCAATAATTGCTAGTGCAGCCACTTCGGAAAACATTTTGGCAGTTTCTTTTAAAGTTCAACGTACATTTACCATATGATACAGTCATTTCACTCCTACCTATATATCCAAGGAAAATGAAAACATATGTCCACACAGAGACTTGCATATGAATGCCCTTAGTAGCATTATTCATAATAGCCCAAAACTAGAAACAACCTAAATGACCATCAACTGGTGAAAGGACAAAGTGCTGTAAATTCAGCAATAAAAAGGAATAAACTGTGAATACATGTTATAACATGAATGAACCCCAAAAACCTTATTCTGATGAAAGAAACCAGACATACTCTATGAGTCCATTTACACAAAATGTCCAAAAAAGGTTAACTCCATAGAAACAAAAAGCAGATTAGTCACTGCCAGGGGCTAGGGATAGCAAAATGGATTAACTATAAATGGTCATGAGAGATTTTATTGGAGAGGTAAAAATGTTCTAAAACTGATTTATGGTGATGGCTGTATAGCTTAATAGTAAATTTAATTAAAGAATCATTGAATTGTATAGATAAATAGGATGAATTCTATAATGCATAAAATATGCCTGAATAAAACAATAAAGAAATAAAAGAACCAGGGTTAGGCTTTGAAATACCTCCCAAGACCTTTACTTTAGATCCTGTTTTGTCCATATCCTGTTACCAACTAAACAGCTTCTAGCTTTCAACAGTGCAAAAACCACAAATTATAAGAAATGTTGAAGTCATTTATCTAGAAAAACAGTCCATCTTTTAATTTACTTTCTACTTATAAACTCTAAAATACTTCTGGATAACACAAGCCCTTAAAAGGACAGGGGAAATTTTAAAATTGTACTTTATTACAAACTTAATTCTTTTAATGTCTACTTTCATAATTATGTATCTCTCTTTTGCTTACAGGCCACTTTTATTATACTGTCTCCATCTCTTCCACTTAGTACTCAGCTGCTTTTAAAGCTACAGGTGGTAATTATCTCTTTAACACCTCTCTCCTACTGACTCCCATCTTTGAATGTCCCTAAGTTCCTGCCAGCTGAAAGGATCACTCCAACATCAAGAGCTCCAAGTAGAGAACATGAAAACCCTCTAGTACTTACATTTCTATTATCACTCTTTTCTTGAGTACCTCTGAAGTACCTTCAAAGCGAGTGTAAGTTCACTGCCTGAAGTTCTCCAACTACACCTGACTGATTCATACAGTTTTCTACATCTTAAAAGGGAGATGTCTTATCTCTTTCAAACATTTTGACACCCTTCAACAAAACAAGTAAGCATAGTTAAATAAATTTTACCCCAAATCATTGAAGGTTTTATCAGAAATAATACTCTTGTTTGCCCAGTCACCCCAACCCATCCCAGATTTGATGGCTTCCTCTCTTTCATTTCTGTTCACCTGTGCCCTTCCATAATAAGGTGAGAGGTTAGGTAGGATAAAGCCAGACACCACGTGCTTCCTGCTGTGCTGCAGTAGAGAATGCACCACCCTACCTACTAACGTTCTGGCCAAGAAAAAAAACAGAACCTGGATGTAAACACATCTCAAAATCTACCAGCTTACAATAATAGATGGAAGATGGAGAAACACATAACATAACACCATGAGGATATCATCAACAAATCCTCAAGGACAAACAGCACATTCACAAACTGCAAGCTAAAAACAAGGCACGAGTCAACTTTAATTAAAAGAGATTTAAGAGCTATCTCAATCAAATGCAATGTGTGAGCATAATTTGGATCTCAGTCCCAACAAATGAATTATAGCAAATCGATGAGACAAGCTCGAAGATTTGAATGCTGGATATTTGCTACATTAAAGAGTTGTTCATATTTTTTTAGGTTTAATAATGGTATTGCAGTCAAGTTTATAGAAAGAGTGCTTGCATTTGAGTGGCAAATACTAAGGCTTTATATGGGTGATGTATGAAGATTGCTTCAGGATAATGCAGTGACGGGAGGAGTGGAGAATGCATCTAAAACAGGGCCGGGCGCAGCGGCTCATGCCTATAATCCCAGCACTTTGGGAGGCCGAGGTGGGTGGATCACGAGGTCAAGAGACTGAGACCATCCTGGTCAACATGGTGAAACCCCGTCTCTAGTAAAAATGCAAAAATTAGCTGGGCATGGTGGCACGTGCCTGTAGTCCAGCTACTCGGGAGGCTGAGGCAGGAGAATTGCTTGAACCCAGGAGGCGGAGGTTGCAGTGAGCCAACATAGCGCCATTGCACTCCAGCCTGGGTAACAATAGCGAAACTCCGTCTCAAAAAAGAAAAAAAAAATACAGCTAAAACAAGATCAACTATGCGTTGATAATTGTTAAGGAAGTGTGATAAGTAAATGACAGTTCACTAGTCTTGCCACTTTTGTGCATGCTTAATAATTTTCATAATAAAATGTTTTAATGCCATCGTTAAAAATCCATAAACAATATGCAGCAAAAGTCTCTCCAGTAAACATGAGAAAGTGTTGCTGTAATAGACCTCCTTAATAATAATTCATGATTTTAAAGATATTAAACATGGGCAAAGGGGAGGAGCACACAGGTAGATTCAACATTATTAGTAGAATTTACATGTGTTGTGTATATTATCGGGCTGTACCAAATGTTACATAGTTTTTTAATATAGGGATATAGAGAGAAGGCAAGTTTTTTTTTAACAAAGTAGTATGTTTCAAGAAAAAATTTGATACTTTACTATTTAATTCATATTTTTCTTGTGAGAATGTAAGCTAAAACCTCCCCTCAACTAGTATTAATCATACTAAAACACACACACACACACACACACGGGAAAGCAAGTGAGAAAAACAGTTAAAATAAGTCTCTAGTTTAGCTCAGATCAGCCTTGTCCATGCTCAGTGTTGCTATTCATTTTCTCCTTCATAGTCTCCCTTATTCAGTTCCCCCAACCCTCAACCTTTAGGAGTGTCTGAAGGCCAACTGCGATAGGACAGCTGACCTTGTATATACCTTACTGTTCTTTCTGTCCTGCAGCCTCAGCCAGTGAATTTCAAGGTGTGTTCCATGTCATCTGTGGTGTTTCAGTGTTCACCTAGAACAAATTGTCCATCCTTATCCATATAATTGTTGACACATGGCTATGTTTCACCTATCTAAATAAACTTTTCTATCTTTCAAACTATGGGAAAATAATCTAATAGACTCTAAATCAAGTTTTAACATTCTGCAGATGTTAGAATTGGTCTGTAACATGGCATGAGGGTTGTTCCTCAGTGTATAAGTATCATACTTTGATAGATGGGAACATTAGGCACTTAATGATCTGAGAATCCACCAAAGCAGTGTCTCTCCACTATGGTGGGGTCTTTGAAAATGATCTTTTGTTGTTCGATGGGCCATGTGTCCATGTTAGCCACCACACCTGGTGAATGTGAGCAAGAGGATTGTGGGCAGGTCTTAGCCACTTGATGGCACTGGTTTTGTCATAAGGCAGCGCCATAGGTACCTAAGAAGTGCGTTAATGTGTGATATTTTCAGATATGCAGGTTATTGTCATTGGATAGAGCAACATTCACAAATAAAGGAAATTACAATAGGTTCCTGCATAGCTGGACATAGCTTCCCACGCAACAGCTGAGAGATGTTGGAGCCTGCAGAGGGAGCTCTTGTATTAGGAGATAATGAACAGACGGGCAAGCTAATTCTAGAGTTACCATTGGTGACGACATCTATCACTTTCCTAAGATGATAGTCTTACCCTTATCCCTCCTCCATGCACCCACTCTCTCAAAAGAGGAAGAATGGACTGTTTAGATGGCATACCACTTCCTCTTGGCCCATAAAAGGGATTCTAGATGGGAGATACTGCTTTCATTTTCACAGGAAATGGCCAAGTTTAGGACTATCTGCAGTACTTGTGTATGTGAACTTAACAAGTGAATCAGTGAAGACTACTTAGACCATAAATGCAGAGTGGATAATTTTAACAACTTTAAAAACATACATCATCTTATGCTGGTTCTAAAAATCATACATTGAAGCTTTCCCTGTTT